TGTAGTTAGGTATGTACGTACACAAAAACGCGTATTCTCTATAGTCTGGTCGGGTGAGCACGTAGAATTTTGTCCAATGACCCCAAGCTACCCATCCTTATCGCTCGCGCGTAATTATATTGCTATCGCGCTCGCACACTCACTGCGGGTGACAGTCGCACAGTCGCGACAGCAATATAATTACGCGCGAGCGATAAGGATGGGTAGCTAGGGGTCATTGGACAAAATTCTACGTGCTCACGGACCGGGCTTTAGTTACATACTTTTAGTCGGCCGATAGTTGGGCCCGATTCTAATTTGTATGAAGAATCGACCGACACCAATGTGCGTACTTTCATATAATATGTCCATATTGATTAACAGCCCGACTATCAGCCGACTTGTAGTCTGCGGCTAGGCTTAGAACAAGATGTTATGTACACGAAAACACGTGTTCTTTAGTTAGACATTCCGCACATTACAGAAAGATTTAGTCGGCCGATAGTTTGAATTATTTCACTATGGATTATCCGGTGATATCACCTGAGTGAACAAAGTGGATTTATTAGTGTCATCGGAACCATTTCACCGTGATATCACCTAGGTGAATTGGTTCGACTAAAGTGGTCGCCTTTGTTCACCTAGGAATTAATTCATCCAGATGAACAGATGCGACTTTTTTCATTGATCAAGTCGGCTTTCAATTTGTATAAGGAATCGGTCGATACCAAATAGGTGTAATGTGTGTACGTAATACAGGTGCATACTGATCAACAGCTCAACCAAACTATCGGCCGATTAAGTCTGTAGTCTGCGGCTGGGCTTAGACGGCCGATAGTTTAGGCAGCTTCCAATGTATGAGGAATCGGCCGATACCAAATCGGTGCTAGGTGTAGCTAGCCTAGGCTTAGAACATAATGTTATGTACAGTCGCGGAATGAAAAGGTTCGTCACCTTAGTGTCGGTTTTCGCTTGCACTAGGTACTGTAAGAGTCAAACCTGCCAACATAACCGTGCAAGAAACATTGCTGCTAACATTTAAATAAATATGACGTTCACTAACGAATAAGGTATTGCTTGTTTATTTTTCTATCCCATCAGTGCAATGTTACAAATGTCGTTTTTTTATTTAATAGATAATGGCAGGTTGAACCAACAAGTAGGTTTTAGTTTATCAATCATAATAATCTTCTTGACAAGTTAAATCGTCAAACAACTTTGATCTGAATAATTTTGAACTTTACTGACGAACAGTTAAAGATTATTTTCTCTAACTCGAGATTATTCTGTAACATAGTTTCAAATATGTGCTCGCGATTCGTTGAAGGAATCAATTTGAAAACTGACGAATCTTTTCATTCCGTGACTGTACACAAAAACATGTGGAACCATTTCGTCCAAGTGATATCACCCAGGTGAATTGGTTCGACTAAAGTTGTCGCCTTTGTTTACCTAGGAATTAATTCATCCAGGTGGACAAATGCGACTTTTTTCATTGATCAAGTCGGCTTTCAATTTGTATGAGGAATCGGCCGATACCAAATCGGTGTAATGTGCACACTTTCATGTATACAGGGTGGAAACGATAAGTGATCTCACTCGATTATTTCTAAACTATACAATATATCAATAAACTAGTTACTGATCCTGGAAGTGCTTCATGAGCTCTATCAAACGGTATTAGTAATAGGTTACAGAATAAACTGGATCTATCCGAAAATTCAATGTTTCCAGCTTCCATACATTTGGTAAAGTCACATTATTTTTAAAACTACACATGATAACGTAAAACTGATTACTGATTCTAAAAGTGCTTCACAAGCACTATCCAATGGTATCAATAATAGGTTACAGAATAAACTGGATCTATCCAAAAATGCAATGTTTCCTTCTTTCATACATTTTGTACTACCACATTCATGACACTTATCTCTTGACAATATTATAGCAAGAAAAGCCTAAAACCAATGTTTTCCATGAATAATTTAAAATAAGAATACAATTTACGAGTTTATTTTAAGAGATTATTATTAAATAAAAAAAAATACACTACTAATATTGTGTGTCTGGCATACATTTAGTATGGAAGCTGGAAACATTGAATTTTCAGATAGATCCAGTTTATTTTGTAACCTATTATTGGTACCGTTTGAAAGAGCATCTCGAAGCACTTTCAAGAATCAGTAACCAGTTTTTCAATATCTTGTGTAGTTTAGAAATAATCGAGTGAGATCACTTAACGTTTCCACCCTGTATATGTTCATATTGCTCAACAGCCTGACAAAACTATCGGCCGATTAAAAGTGTAGTCTGTGGGATGTTTTTTGTTTTCCTTTTTTGTTTTTTAAAGAAAGTTTTAGAAAAGATTGAAGTTTTTACGAGAGTTGAAAATGGTCTAAGTCCATACGACTGTGTGAGCAGACCTTTACATAGAAATAGCTAAGGCCGAGTACACACTGACTAAAATACTAAATCTATTACGATCTAAGACGAAATGTGTACAGTATTTTAACAAATAATATACTCTCCCTTTGTCAAAATACTGTGGTATAAGTAAAGTGAAATATAGTAAAATATCATGATTTGTCAGTATGTACACGGTTTTAACACCAATCTATAAACTATGGCAACAATTTACATCAAGTCAGTGTTTACACCTGGACTTACGAGTCTTAACACCAAATGACGAGAAACACCGGGCGTACGTATTGTACCTTTTTTGCCGTCTCTTTCTTCTCTGAATCTTGTTTACAACCTGCAAAGATAGTTTGTACATTAGAATCTAGAAAATGTGACGTATCTAGCAAATATTTACTAAATGCATACCCTTGAATGGTTTTTGTCCGTTTTATAGTCCAGTCAATAAAGCATTATAGATGGACATCCGTGGAACACAATTTCTGACTTTGGGACTTTATTTAGACTAGTTAGGAGGTGAACATAGCAAAAGTCCCCGCCCTTAGCCCTTGAGCCGGCGGGGTGAGGGGGGTTTAAAGGTCCCACTTTTCGGTTTTTCGCTTAATCCTCGGAAACTATGAGTCCCAGTGACATGATTACTATGAACCAAAAAAAGCTTATTCAATATGCTACAGGTGAGACAGTCAAGTTTTTCTATATCTTTTATAGTTTTCACGGCATCTGCTCTAGAAGGTCTGTAATATTGGAAATTTTATTTTTGTCTTACATGTTCCCTTCAGGAGAAAATCGACTAAATCAACATTAAGCCAACATTTTAGACATGCGGGAGCATGTTAAACCTAGTTCCAGGGAGGAGACTGCCCCGTGCGTATATTTAGACGACTCAATTGGAGCCACTTTTGACACCTCATCACTCAAAAACTAACAAAATTAAAGTCATGATAGTTTATGTGAAATACGGGGCTGTAGTTCAATAAAACTTCGAACTCCTATGTTCTTCTGATTAATTTCGTTGCGGGTCCAATGACAGTTTAACTTTCCCCGGGACAAACTTGACCTTAACTGGTTGGGTTGTTATTGGCGGTCAAGCTGTAGATCCTGGCTACACAGGAGTTGCAGCGGTGGGAACGAGAGGTGGGAATAGTCCGATATCTCACCTAGTCCTTGCAGTGGAACTGCTTGATGCACAGCGCGCACGACCAGTAGCCGCGGTTGCAGGCACGCAGTATTTTCCCTACTTTGGCAATGTTCTCGGCAACATCGGGAATATTCTCAGCAATATTGGCAATGTTCCCAGCATCATCGGCAATGTTCCCAGCAACACCGTCTCACCTAGTCCTTGCAGTGGAACTGCTTGATGCGCAGCGCGCACGACCAGTAGCCGCGGTTGCAGGCACGCAGTATATTCCCTACTTTGGCAATGTTCCCAGCAACATTGGCAATGTTCTCGGCAACATCGGCAATATTCTCAGCAATATTGGCAATGTTCCCAACAACATCGGCAATGTTCTCAGCAACACTGGCAATGTTCTAACATCGGCAATGTTCCCAGCAACACCGTCTCACCTAGTCCTTGCAGTGTACTTTGACAATATTCCCAGCAACGTCGCATTATATTCCCTACATCGGCAATGTTCCCAGCAACACTGGCAATATTCCCAGCAACATCGGCAATGTTCCCAGTAACACCGTCTCACCTAGTCCTTGCAGTGGAACTGCTTGATGCACAGCGCGCACGACCAGGAGCCCTCGGGCGGCGTCTCGAGCGGCGGCGCCAGGCAGTACATGTGGTAGCCGCGGTCGCAGGCGCGCAGTATATTCCCTACTTTGGCAATGTTCCCAACAACACTGGCAATGTTCTCAGCAACACTGGCAATGTTCCCAGCAACATCGGCAATGTTCCCAGTAACACCGTCTCACCTAGTCCTTGCAGTGGAACTGCTTGATGCACAGCGCGCACGACCAGGAGTCCTCGGGCGGCGTCTCGAGCGGCGGCGCCAGGCAGTACATGTGGTAGCCGCGGTCGCAGGCGCGCAGTATATTCCCTACTTTGGTTATGTTCCCAGCAACATCGGCTATGTTCCCAGCGACATCGACTATGTTCCCAGCAACATTGGGCCACATTTTTACCTAGCAGCGTCACAGTATATTCCCTGCATTGGCTATGTTCCCAGCAACTTCGGCAATATTCCCTACACTGTCTCACCTAGTCCTTGCAGTGTACTTTGACAATATTCCCAGCAACGTCGCAGTATATTACCTACTTTGGCAATGTTCCCAGCAACATTGGCAATGTCCTCAGCAATATTCCTAGCAACATCGGCTATGTTCCCAGCAACATTGGGCCACATTTTCACCTAGCAACGTCACAGTATATTCCCTGCATTGGCTATGTTCCCAGCAACATCGGCAATGTTCTCAGCAACATTGGCAATGTTCTCAGCAACATCGGCAATGTTCCCAGCAACACCGTCTCACCTAGTCCTTGCAGTGTACTTTGACAATATTCCCAGCAACGTCGCAGTATATCCCTACTTTGGCAATGTTCCCAACAACACTGGCAATGTTCTCAGCAACACTGGCAATGTTCTCAGCAACACTGGCAATGTTCCCAGCAACACCGTCTCACCTAGTCCTTGCAGTGGAACTGCTTGATGCACAGCGCGCACGACCAGGAGCCCTCGGGCGGCGTCTCGAGCGGCGGCGCCAGGCAGTACATGTGGTAGCCGCGGTCGCAGTCGTCGCAGAACAGCAGCTGATCCTGTATATTATGTTTAATTATATTGCATTTTAAAAAATGTCAAGAGGTCATATTTTCAGCGTGACAATGAGTGCCAACGAACTGTCAAATAGTTGCAAAAAACGATTCTGTTTGACTTGACGGCGACGGCATCACGCATCTCTTTTTATCAGAGTTGCTGCTAGTGACATCTCAATCGTGTTGCCCTATTCCGATGGGTATATTAACTTTATGAGGACCGGCGACTTTTCTTAGCATGTACAGTCAGCGTCAAATAGTTCGTGACACACAAAGTGGCCAAAAAGTTGACAACAGAACCTTATTCCAATTGCAACAAAGACGTGTTGCGAAATTTTTGGCTACTCTAGATATCACGAAGTATTTGAAGCTGACTGTACAAGCGGCCTAAAGCATAGCCCTCCCTCGCGCAGTCGGGTAAGGTACTTACATCGTTGTCGCTGTTTCCGCAGAGCGAACAACACTTGCACTCGATGCATTGCCAGCGGTATTTGCACACCGACACCATCATATTCGCGGTGAATTGCAGGCAGGTGGGGTGCCCTGTACACACAACAATTACTATAGCAAAATAATGTAAGATAAGCTACTAGTAGCTATATGCGCGCCGCGATATAATTTTATCGCCCCTTTTATCGATTTTACGTGATAAGGCAAGATGGAGCGAGATTAAACGCGAAGCTCAAAACCGAACGCGATGGAGGACTGTTGTGGACGCCCTCTACCCCATCTAGGGGACATATGACATTAATGCCCGTTTTCACCAATAATCCCTAATTTTTAAGTGACCCCTATAGTAACAAATAATAGGAATTTTGTTTACATAGGGGTCACTTAAAAATTAAGGCTTGATGGTTAAAACGGGCATAAGTCAAGTAAGTCATGTCGACTAAAACATCGATAAGATTTTATCACGGCGCGCATTCTAGCCCAGCTGGTTAAATTGGACGTTTAGGCCGATAGTTAATTGGTCTAAAATAACTTTACGCATTGAAAGTCAGCCTTTTGAAGAAGACTGGCTTAGTCACATTGATAATGACAAAGCAATGGTTCAGTTTAGAATATAATTGCAATAGCTATAGGGTTAGCGCATTACTGAGGCAGTGCCTGAGATATGGGAGCGGCACGGGAGGGGTGGCATTGACATATTATAAATAAATAATAAAATAAATATCCTTAGACATTTTACACTGCGCTTCTAGTCCCAAACTAAGCAAAGCTTGTACTATGGGTACTAGACAACGGATATAAACATACTTAAATACTTTTTTTTTGTAAATATATACTTATTATACATAGAAAACACCCAGTCCAATACAAACGAATATGTTCATGCACACCAATGTTTGTACTGTTCGGGAATCGAACCCGCTACCTCCGGAATAGTAGTCCGCTTCGAACCACTACACCAAACGGCCGACAATGACGTTATGACGTTGACGTTTGACGTCAACAGAAACACCCTCCGGTGTCGCTCTGATACTTCAGGCACTAACTGGGTTAAGTGACAGCCCTATAACCCACTGCATTCGCATTCTGACACCGAATAAAAGCGAGGTTACACAAATATATTTCACATATTGTTAGGCACATAAGATTTTCTTACCTTATCGAATCTTCTTTAGCACCATCAACTGTTTCAATAAAAAAATAAGGGAAAATAAAATGTGCCGAACAATAGTGAAAATAAACAAAACAAAAACGACACTGAGCATAATCAAAGTACGTACTAAATCATCGAGTTTAAAGTATCAGAAAATGTCGCTAGGAAGTGCACGGTAACTTCACTATTCTTCAGCACAACGAATGAAACCAGGCCACTTGTAAATACAGTTTAATGTTTAAAAAAACGTCCACGTTACACAAAAATAAAAACAGAATTAAATAAACGTTTCCACAGATTAAAAGGAATACACAAACCATTTATAGCATGCGAAGATACAAAAAAGTTTAAACGTCGTCACTGCAAATCATTTTTTTTACATCGCATTGAAACAGCAAGCATTTTAAATAGTTTTTTTACCGATTGTCAAATATGCGCACCGGTTTTGTATTTAGTCTGTGGAAACTCAAGCTATAGGAACACTCTGTCATATATCATGGATACCAAAGTGTGCCTACATTCTAACCTATGTTAAACTACGGTCCGATAAAATATAAAACAACTCGTCAACAATCTTTGGGTTGCAACGTATGCACTTCCTTGATATTTTTTGATACTTTGGAATAAAATAAACTGCACAATATAGATATATTCGAGATACACGGTAACTATGAAATAATAAACTATATTAACATAAGACGCAACTTGGCCAGGATTTATAAAACATAAATATATTTCACTAAACAACAAAATAAAAAAAACATCTTATATTCATTTATTAGCGTGTAATACAGAATGGAGATTCTGTGATATTTTAAATATGGTGTCACATTTGATCAAACAGATTACACACTATATTGAGGGTACATTTGGCCAAGTAGCTGTCCAACATACAATATTAAACTTATACATAAGACAATAATCTAAAAAATATTGCAGTTAAGGCACCGAAGGAGTGAATAATAAAAGCAAATATTGCGTTATTAAATCATATCATAGTTAAATATGTTCATAAAAAAATTTGAACAAACAATGTCGACAGCTGTAAAAATGACATTAAATATTATCATATTAAGGTTTAAATTAATATTGATATAACAGACGATTATGTATAGATATGCTATTGTTATATTATTGATATATTACTAGATATGTCAAATCCACTGCTATATTTACTCTACATTTGGTTATAATTTACAGCTGTCATTTATTCCAACGTTCTATATTAAAGTGTTGTATATGAATCTATAGACGATTACAAGTTACTAACATTAAATATTATGTAAATATCTCTTATACATAATAACTATCTAAGTCATAGATATAATTATTTATTTGTAATATAATATAGTGTCTATTTTTTATTATAAAACGATAATATAAGTAAAATATGTTTTGTCAAATAATCTTAAAATTTTAAGTATATAAAACATTAACCTAACAATTCAACTTAAACATCTATTATAATGAAACAAATATAAACTAAAGGAATGCGAAGTTTTTTTTATAACATCGAGTTAGTCTTTTTAACTTAACATTTAGGATTTTCGTTAATAAATCTTTGGGTTGTATAATTTATATTAAACGTGAAAAACATTTATACAAGCGATAAAAGGCACATAACAAGCTCTACGATTGGTAAAATTGCTTCAATACTCAAAAGTAACTTTCAAATGGGAAGCAGAACATACACACTTTGCACATCTAAATAGAAAAAAGTTTTTATGTTCCTTGGATTGTGTATTACTACGATAAACCTACCTACGATTTTCTTATCAGCTGAAACATATGTATAAGTTTAGATAGACAGTAAAACGATGATCAACTTCTTAACCATTTTTGGTGTGGTTTAACATAAAAACAATAATTGTATAATTAATCGTAATTAACAAGTGATAACAACTAGACATTTGGCATATAAAATTGAATGGTTTTTTACAATAATTTTGTTAAAAATATATTTAAAAATGTAACGAGTAATTTAAAAATAATTGTATTTTAAAAGCGAAAACATTTTATTGAAAAGCGACAAGCAATTAACCATATACACCGTTAAATATAATACTTTAATTTTTAAAATTTGAGTAAATATTCAGTATTCAAATACTTATAACGACCAAAAGATATCGTCGAAATGTCGCTAGGTACTCGCTAAAGGACATTATTTGTCGTCTACACTATAGCGTCTTAAATTATCTCTGCACTGATCTTTCTATGGCTTACACACTATATTGGCGTGTATTGGCTCAGAGACTATATTAGTAAATAAATGTCAAATGATGAGCACAAATGTACAATCTAAATTAAGATCGGAACACATTCAAGCGCTATACACAGCCTTGCACTACAATCATTTATTCCAGAGGTGGATATGACTAGGGCAGAAGCTGTACGACGTACGTCCATGGACAACACTAGGCCGCGACCCACGCCATGCTCAATGTATAAAAAAGTTGCTCAAGTGTGGACCGGCCTTGACTATACTTATATTATATGTCAAAGTGTGTATGTGTGATAGGTGAAAATTAACACAATATTGTGGAGCGCCGTGACTCGACTACGCGTGACTAGATAAGCTAGGATGATCATGTATGTAGTTAGATAGAGACAACGGCTGTATCTATCTCTCTCTTAACCCGTAACGTAACAAAATGAGACAAGTAATTTTTAAAATACTAGAGATACCCGAGTCAGTAAGAGAGACAATAAATTAAGGATATAACCAGTTTAAACTAGTTTTAAACGATGTTTATTTTATCTGCTAATAAATAATTATTTTCTTATCATAAAACAAAGATAATTTATACCGTTTTCTCTACCATTACAACAAACATGACGCTGATAATGTATTTGGCTTTGCGAAGACTAAAATGTAATAATGACGACTTATTTTGACGCGATAGTAAATATTTAGGTTTAAACAATTTCACCGAATTTCATAACCTTGATAATTCAAATCCATTAAAATAAGGCTTACAGGTGTGGCAAAATGATTTTATACATTTTATTTTTAGGTCCCCAAAATTTTAAAAGGTAAAATGTTTTTTTCCTCAGCTAAATATTTTATTTCACCGAATTTCATAACCTTGATAATTCAAATCCATTAAAATAAGGCTTAAAGGTGTGGCAAAATGATTTTATACATTTTATTTTTAGGTCCCCAAAATTTTAAAAGGTAAAATGTTTTTTTCCTCAGCTAAATATTTTATTTAAAATGTTAATGAAATAATGAAATATTTACATTTAATTGCGTTACTAAAAACACAAATTTTACATACAGTGAGAAAGAGTATTATCTAAAACGTTTTAAGTACCGAATTGATCTTATTGCCAATATTTAAGACTTTCCACACCTGCCCTCAAAATAAGGCACAATACAATTCAAATTTTGACAGGAGAGCTTAATACTAAAGCCTAAACCATGGAAGTAATGTACTCGTAGTCTTACACACTTCAATCGACCAACTACACACACCGGCAGATTTAGCGGAACGCAAAAAAAAGTATGAAAATAAGGAAAATTACTACTGATCTATGAAATATTTATTATACAAAATAAAGAGATAATTAAAATAAAATAAAATAACATATATTTTTTAAATATTTAGTCGTTTTTATTTAATAAAAAATCATCGAAACGAAATTTCAATTTTTCAGTTTTGAACAAAAATTAGAAATTGTGGCCAGATTAAAAATTAGGGTAGCTTATCACTATCCAAATGAATGAATTAATGATGGGTATTTCCCCCTCTTGCTCTGATGATGGTTTCCATTCATCTGAGCATGCTGCAGTTAATGATATGAAGGGTATTTTGGGGCAATGTCTGCCATTCCTCTAGTAACGCGTTTCTCAACACCACCGGTGGTATTCTGAGTTTAACACATCTTTTAAGAAAGTCCAAGACATGCTCTATAGGATTCTTGTCTAGGGATCTTGCCAGCCACTGCATCATGGGTATATCCAAATGGTTTAGATGTGCCTGTACTGAGCGAGCACTGTGAAAACGAACATTATCGTGAATTAAACTAAAGGAGTCCACAATAAATGGAGTAAATGGCACATCATGTTCTTCTAAAATGTTCCTAGTGTACCATTCAGAAGTCGTATTTCCTCCATCACCCACCACTAACTCCGTGCGAGCTCCCAAAAAAATCCTTCCCCACACCAGAATTAAGCTACCTCCATAAACCACGATATTTTCAAAATTAAGACTAAATGTTACGTTCTCTTTGTGTCTCCATATTCGCTATCTTCCATCGATCTGGTTTAAGAGAACTCTGCACTCATAAGTGAAGAGATCATGCCTCCAGTCGTTCAAGACCCAATCACGATATTCACGTGAAAAGTTCAATATGTTTTTTCGGTGCTGTGTCACAAGTTGGAGCTTTCTCGGGTATGCACGACCCTATACCAACTTCAGTAAATCTCCTGTGAACTGTGGGCTCAGTCACTCTTACTCCTCGAGTGTCTTTAAGGTTATTTCTGGCTTGAACAGCAGGTAACCGCGACTTTCTGAAAACTCGAAGTTGTAAAAAACGGTCATCCCGTCGCGAAGTACGCCTTTTTCTGACTTGAACCCTCCTCCTAACGACAGAAATGATCAATCTGTACCGTTGGTTACTGCCATGGGTGGTCGATACTGATCAACGACGTCTTACGGCAGCCGATTTGTATGCATGGCCGTTACTTCTCATTTCATCTGCCTTAATGATTTCTGACGGTGCTAAGCTGGGCATAATAAACCCTTATAAGTAACTGAATGCTTACACAACAAAATTCTCAGAAAAAAACATCTTTCACGTAAAAGAAATCCAAATTAGCAAAAGCTTCATTCAATTCAAAACACTCAACGAAACTGTTGATGGGGTAATTTAAACAAAATAATTAAAAAAATATACTGTTGGCAATTATTTTTTTCAAATTTAGAATTAAATTAAAAAATAATGTCATAATTAGGCATTTTTTTCCTAAAATAATGATGATATTGATGCTTTTTTTTCCGTTCCTCTAAATCTGCCGGTGTGTGTAGGTACGGAGCTTGAAAAAAAGATAAAAAAGGTTTAGAGATGTGCAAGAAACATTTATGAATTAAAGTTTGAAACAGTTCTATAATTAACCGTAACTTAGCATAATCTTTTAAAATGACAATGATATTTTGTCCTATTCTTTATCCAGATTTATCTTTGATCTTTTCAATTAAAAAAGCAATTAGAGTTCCGCGTGACGTCACAAAGTGTTACACTTTTAACCACGCCTTGACGTCACGGGCCTGTTTTGAACTTTGGCGCGCTTTATCTCTTTAAATTTTTATTAGTTTGAAAAAGTGAAAAATACGTGTCGAGTATTTTTTGATAAGTTAGCCGATGGACTAATTTAAACTCTTGCTTTTTACCCAAGAAACATCCCTATTGATACAGCCCATATACCTAGTTGATACGGTTGATTGAAGTTGATATGACATAAACCACTAAGACGCGGTATCTAAAAAAATTACAACAGATAACATGTAAAAATATTTGGCATCCGTCGTCACAATAGGTAGACATGGCATCAATAAGATCACAATGGTTTTAAAGTATTTTAATAAATCGATACCAATTCCAAATACCTATATTTAAAAAAAACGAAAATCTTTAACGTGGATTGGAATGTATGAAACGAAAAACTTCCTCTAGTGAAACGAGTGATACCTCTTTGGTACATACCACACGAGTTTGTGACATAAGCAAATGGGTGTGGGAAAATAGTTACTGGTGGCGCTGGTGTGCATAAATAATAAAGCAAATTTAAATTAACGAATTATTTAAGCTGACTTCGATAAAAAATTACACGCATTGGGTAGTTGACACCTATAACCAATAATTTCAACACACAATTTATAAAATACTTCGTAGCCCTGAAAACCGGGTCCAATTTAAGCCCGGTCTGTGAGCACGTAGAATTTGGTCCAATGACCCCAAGCTACCCTTCTTTATCGCTCGCGCGTAATTTTTCTGTCGCGACTGTGCGTCGGGCGCCCGCAGTGAGTGTGCGAGCGCGACAGCAACATAATTAATTACGCGCGAGCGATAAGGTTGGGTAGCTTGGGGTCATTGGACAAAATTCTACGTGCTCGCAAACCAGACTATAGATGTAAAATTCTACTTTTATTAGCTTTGAAATTGAACAAATGACAGTCAATTGAGTTCGCGATCAGATGTCGTTAAAATCGCGTTTTGACAGCTCAAAATGACAATTGACGGGCGCCACTACCTTATCGTAAGCTCACTAGCGCCACCACGCAACCTCCCTACATGACAGGGCTCTGCCGAGACGACGGCGGGGAGACTGGGTATTCAACATACTCATCGCGCAGCAATTTCGTTTGCGTCGCGAAGGTGTCGAAGTCATCAGCGGGGTATGACATGGAGGTCAATATTTCGACGACTCCATTAAGCCTGACGGTGTCTTTAAGGTGTTTGTGTCTCTCGCAGACTCGATTCTGTATGTGGTAGCAGGGAAGCGGGACGGAACGCGGGCGGCCGCGGCGCTTACCTGATCGGCCGCAGTCGGAGCAGCTGACGAGCTGTTCGGGCGTTCCCGTCTTTTTGTTCTCGCGGTCGTCGCCGAGGCAGAAGTCGCAGTATGGTGATGGTGACGCCTGGAATGAGATGAGGCGTTGAAGTATTCTGTCAAATGTACAGACGACGGCACGAACAGATAAAATCTTACGCTCGCTATGAAACAAAAGAGTGCAAAACATAATTTCAAGTCCGTGTCGGTCGAATGACACTTTTTTACTGGTATTTTAGAGAAAGGGGGAGGGACGGTCTTTAGTAATTCCGCAATCTTTATTAAATACTGTGATTAGTTGAAATATTACTCTACACAGGGATTGTAACCGTATCAACTCAAGACAGTCAGTTTTGTTTGTATGAAACTCCATACTGCAACACACTTATCCGCACCGTACCGTAAACACCTCTCCTCGCGATTGACAAGCGTACGAAAGGCCCTATTGCCTACATACAATGTTGATCCTTTTCCGAGTTGATAAGTCTGCTGTGAGCTTAAAATGTAAACCACACGAAGGCAAAAAAAAGTTAGTTCATGCAAAGAAAACAGGTCTACTTCAATATACCTTAGTAGCCGGCTTCTTCAGCTCCGGCAGCGGCGACGTCACTGTAGAGAGGGGTACATACCTTAGTCGCCGGCTCCTTCAGCTCAGGCAGTCGCCTACACTATAGAGGGGTACATACCTTAGTCGCCGGCTCCTTCAGCTCCGGCAGCGGCGGCGGCGCCGGAGCCGTGGTAGCGGGCGGCACGAGCGGCGCGTGCGCTGAGTCCGACGACGACGTGTCGGCCGACGCCGGCCGAGGCGGCGGCGACGCGCGCCGGACCGGCGCCGGGGCCGGCGCCGTGGCTGCCGATGTGGCTGCCGACGTCGCTGGAGCGAGAGAGGTACATGTAGCTTATGGAATGGTACACAATATTATACAGTACATCAACCTACTACTAATTTCCTCAATATCTTCATCATCATCATCAAGCCATTTCTTAAATAAACAACTTCAAAAAATCAAACTGCCTAAGCGGGAATTGAGCCCACGACCTTTCGCTTGTCGGGCCACTGCTCTTCCAACTGAGCTACTTAGACACTGGATGAACCCGTCGAAATTTTCAAGTGGAATAGCAGTCGCCCGGCAAGCGAAAAGTCGTGGGTTCAATTCTCACCTTAGACAGTTCGACTTTATCGTAGTTCATTTAAAATTTAATTTGAGAAGCGACTCTAATTGCTAAGAAATTTTAATAATCATCAAGTCATTAGTCTCCTCTACGAGAGCAACGTGCGACTCTTTAAGCTCTACTAAAACCTAAGTTCAACATTCATTTCAAACGTCTCACGGTAACAGTAAGCTAGCTAATATGCGGTCTCTAAAAGATTATTTTCCCCCATCGGCTGTCGGTCCAATGCTACGTGTAAGTTGCCAAGAAAATCGGAAGCAATTCTAATGTATGTATCCAAAAACACTACTCAAAAGACTCCGTTCTTGACCTAGGCAATAAAGTCTCGTCAACTACAGTAACTATTTTGGTAATTGCTGAGCTCAAAAGCCAAGAACGTGAACTAACCAGCACCAACTCCGGGGTTGTTCAGAAACGTCACGTAGCTATCTTGGTACTCTGTCGCGGGTTGAGCCGGGCCGCCGACCGCCGATGGGGCCGCCGCCACCGCCGGCGGCGTGTGGGCGCCGCCGCGGCTGTCGCGCGAGTCGCCGTCACTGCCAGCCGCGGCACCGGCACTGCCGCTCGGCGGATCCTTGTGCGTGTGCGTGAAGTGGTAAGTGAGACCGGCTCGCGTCTTGTATTTAGCTCCGCACACTGTGTCAATAAGAAAAATGCTTTGACTGATACGGTCCTTCGAGCCGGATTTTAATTAGAATGGACTAAGATATTGAGACGTTAGATTATTTTACATGAATATAATTGATTTGGAAATTACTCACCGTGCGTAGTGCCTCCGTCTGCTTTTACAGTTCACTCTTTCGTCGATATCACAATAAGTTAGGGTATAGAGAAGCCTACGTCATCAGAACAGAGCATAGAGGAGGCACCACGACGGCGAGCGGCGTTATGCGATGTGACGCAGCCTTCCAGTAATTATCCGTCATCAATCAATACCTTTGTCACGCGTAGTACGCACCGGGTACGATTGTGGCTGGTGCGTACTAAGCGATATGCACATGTTTCGAACGATTTCATCAAGCCTTTAAAATCAGTAGTTGCGTTTTCAAAATATAAAACAGCACTGTATCTGGACAAGTAGGACTACGCCACGATTTTTTCCAAATAATCTGATCTATTCGACTCTTTCAGATACCATGCTATGCTTGGATAAATGAAAGAGACAAACACAGTCGTTTTTTGGAATCGTTTGTGAAGTAGGCCACGCATTTTAGTGTCTTTTTGCCGCTGCTTCTTTGACAAGGCTTTCTGATGTACAGTTCGTGCATATTATAGCCGGCCCGTCGTGATACGTCTATGTTCAGTTCTGGAGGACGCAGGCTTCCCGGGGAGCGTTTGATTGATGACTTCAAATCATTGGATCTGCCATTTGATCATGACACAAGTAACATAAACAGTTTACAACATAATGAACACAACGATTATGGATACACTGAGAACTTTCGCAAATATTTGGTCCTTCGAGCCGGATCCAATGAAAGATTAATATTATGGATTAAAGTAAACACAATTTTAATAAAACCCTCAGTGTATCAAACAAGAGATCCAAACTTGGAGTCCAATCAAAAATGAACAAAAGTAATTTTACATTTGGATAATTTTTATTTCTTATTCAACATAAATATCTTGTATAAATTCATAACAATCTTTGGGTGCTAATAATAGTTTGGATCTAAGAATAACATTAAGTCCTCACATACACCGATCCAATTTAAATAGAATAAATAATGATTTTGTTATACCCAAGCCGAGAAAGGAACAATGACTAAAATTTCACATTAATACTTGATTTTTGCGTCCAAACACACCTGGCAATTTCGAACCGAATTATTATGTCGTCAACGTAAAATGTATAATTTAAAAACTATTATTACCATGTCCCTAGACAATAAATTGATATTGAATTCATTACGTAATATTGTATGAATTAAATTAATACTTTTTAACACCCATTTCTAATAACATTATCTAACATATTCTATTACTGAATGAGGATAATATTTCATCTATGTTTTGCGAATGGAAGCCTAATATAACAACCTATCGACCCCATCACTGCTTTTGGCAACTAACTTATAAACAAGTATGTTATTTCAACTATTGCGTCACAAGTGGAATCACTTCCCCAGATTTATCTACACTTAATTTTCACTATGTACAACCAAAACTTATATACCTCTGAGAACACCCCTAAAACCATCAAAACACATTACCTACATATACCAACAAGACCAAACAATATATGAACACAGCACATTTAAATTGTGTACATTTTTGAACAACCCAGAATGCCTACTTAATTTTAATAACCTGAACACATTGTTTCTGAGTACATTCAATTGAGTTTCAATTATTTGAAACGCAAAACTTTAGTCATTGCGATAATGAAGAAATTATTATGATATAGAATCGAATTAAGATTACATGAGACGAAATAAATAGTTCTATCACAGACACATGAGTCATACACATCCAAAGTAAATGGTGCTACAATATTGTGATTAAAATTGTGATTATTCATAAGATCCTGTTTATAATAAAACGTTTTAACTACGAATGACCTTGTTCTATCAATATACGAGTATTAATCCAACACACTGACTTATGATTTTTAGATCAGCCTCTGTTTCAGTATTATGTTGGTCATTAAGATTCAGAAACACAATATTTTAATCTTACCTTACTCGACAAAATCAAACGTAGTTTTATACGTCACTAATAATAAAATGTTCGATACAGAACCGTATCAAACAGATAGGACCTCAACGCAGTCATAAATATCCTCGATTTACTAAATTAACATGCTTCGGTACTTCCTTAAAAAACGAACTCGATTATTACCCCTAAAGATATTGATGAGAGTTGATAGTCGTACTACAGTGGCGCCCCTGCAGTCCTTAAATGAAGGCGCCTCTAAACCAATTAGAGATTCACGACTGTGAAGAGGCCCTAAGTGTGTTCACAATGTCCTTCAGCTTTTGACTTTGTTTTTTACTTTTTAGACGGCTGTTAGCGCTAATCTAGCAAAAAAATCACTTCCAAGTCATCCTAAAACCACCAAGTGCACCGTGAACACACAAAAAAAACCACTACGCTATCCTAATTTTATAATAACAGAACAACTACGCCCATACAAAGAATCGATTAGTAAAAATATACCGTGGCAGTGTATGTCAGATTAACAATAATTTAATTGGTGTTACAGATTCCAATCTTTCACATATTTTTTTATATTATTTTAAGCATTTGAACTTTCGGTATTTCATTTTAATTGACGTAACGGTCATACACATTGGGCGAAGTGCTATACTACAATATGCATTTATACAAAATATTGATTCCGCAGCTATGGTAGATTTACATTCCTATTTCATTACGTGCTTCAGCCAATGTGTACGAGCCAAATGAGGAAGAATGAAGATTAAAAAAGCTACTTAGCTATGAAATTAAAACACTAACAAAATTATCCTTAAAACATACCAAATTAAATGCACGATTATATATTTTTTTGTAATAAATTAATTAAAATTTTGACGGTGACATCTAAATTATATTTAAAAAGTCATTTGTAAGACCAAAAAATTTAGAATATTTAGATATTATAGATTCTATTATCTAATCAGCTTTAATTTAAATATAAATTACTTATTTTAGTTTACAAACTGTATTGTTAGTCGTTTGTAAGTCACCGTATAAAGCCTAAAATTTTCCTAAAAATTATCTAATAATAAACATGATAAACCAGCGACAGGATTACACCAGAGATTCACTTATACCACTAATATTATACAAAAACGTACATACATACAACGATAAAGAAGGCATGTTGAATCTATACACTGATACAAACTACACTTATTGTTGTGTGTCATCGATCATGATAATTTTAATAAATTGCTTTCACCGGATTACTAAGTTCATATTCACACCAAACCGCACACTTTGCTTGTGTGTGAAATAGAGAAAGGCAAAGGCAAACCACCAAACGTTACAACACTATCAATAAGACAATCTACTTCATCATCCCATATCGGTTATAGTAACGATTAGATACTTTTTTATATCAAGAGCATTCCGTTCTCAATGTGCAAAAAATATTGCAAATGTGTCTATTATGATTACTGAAGCCCATATTGAAAAAACGAGCTCAAAATGAATTAAATCTCAGTCATAGATTACGTCCAGTGATTGTCTAAATATTGAAATTCATCCAATCTAAGCCCTCAATTGAGTTTTTGGACATCGTTCTGTGATACACACTTCATACATGAGTAAGTAAGTGATCAACCTGAATCTTTAATGAATTCGTCAATGAACTATCTTAATGAAGTAAACTCGATCTATGCATTCCAATGTTTGTTGCAAGCAAACTTAACGTCCACATTACTAGAAATAAGCTTGTGGAAATAAATAAACAAAACTAAAGGCGACTTTTAGAAAAAGACGCATTTAATACGATGGTTTCTAGTGTCTCAAGAATAAGTTATGGGTATTCCTTGAAACATTTTATTTCAGAATCAGGCCGACTGTTTTTTTTTCTTTATTTTAGACACACACCAACAAGTTACTCAATGAAGACAAATCGCTTACTTGTATATTGATATAGCTAAGACTACAGTACATTACTCATTGGCCCTGTCCTATATTACAACAATTTTATGTGTTTACGTTTCGAAGGCTTGCGCTACCCGATCGTACCGTACTTTACAAATGACTTCTCAAATCCAGCGTAAAATCTAGCCCTATGCAGAGGCGCTATCAATTCTAAATCGCTTACAAATCATTCATTTTTGCTTATTAGTTAATTTTCTTTACTGTACACTTATCAGGCTCCTACTTCTATGTAACAATCCTGATGCTTGGGCCTTTTGTATAAGTTTAGAATTGGAAGAAAGCATTTCATAAACTTTTTATTTCGGTTTATGGTAGCAATTAAATGGGTAAAACTTACGCCCTTATTCATAAGAAATAAGTATAACAAATATTTTTGAACAATTTTTTTTATGAATAACTGCTGGGTATAGCTTCTTTTCTAAAACGACACTGGAAACTCAATTCAAACTCAAATAGATATGAATCACTGATTGATCTATTCACACTTGACTTTGAATTGTTATTCAATTCATTTCAGAATACGAAACCAAAAATTGAAAACCTATTACTCTAAAAGTTAATATTTGAATAACTATGCTTAGAATTAAAAATAAACTACTAGATGGGGAGTAAGAATTGTAACAGTTCTAAAATATACTTTAAGCATTAATATGCGAAGATTTTTCCTAATTTCTATAGACATTAGATTGAATTAATTAACGCATATCTATGGGTGTTACTAAAATTGGAGTGATACAAGTGATAGAACGAGATTTTTATATAACAAGGCCCTATACAACGTGTAATTGAAGTAACGCATTAAACTATTAAACTTAGTGCATGTATACGCTATAAACTCATGTGCACTCGTTGAGACGTTATTTTGTGAATACAAATTACTAATAGTCCCATTAACCTCTTGTAGTAAGCTAAATATGCTTGTATTTCGAGTGGGTTCATCACATTAGTTAAGTCTTTCTCGGATGACAAGTCTGCCAGTCCGACCCTTTTACCATTCGGCTATCGTCGCTTACTAAACTGTTCCAATTTAATATACAGTGTGAGTCACGTTAAAGTGTACATATGAAAATATGTGAAACTAGACCTATTTTTATCGACAAAAAAGAGGTCAAAAATTTTTTGAGATTTTTTAAAAAAATTTTATAGAATTTTTTTTCTTCCAATTACTTATTGTAAAGAAAACGTAATAACTTTTAAACTAAGCGGTATATCTTGATAAAATAAAAACAGTAATAATGCTAAATAACAGGCGATACTAAAAAAATACATAAAATACACAAAAAAGGCCAACAAATAATAAAAAATTATACTTTTTGAAAAAAATCTGCTTAAAAATTCGTGTTTTTTTGGTTATTTGATAAATTTCTCCAAAAAATGCCCCTATAACCGGTAGTTTTTATTACTTTTTATTATTCTCTATCGTATTACCTTCGTAAAACCAAAAATCGCATGTCTCTATCCCTATCACAACGTTTGCAATGATCGTTTGAACTAAGCCTCTCCGGGCGCGCCATTCAACGCTTCGTTAACAACAAAACTGAAAATGGCTCTAGATTTGTAATTTTGATAAAGACAAGTTAGATTTCAAATAAAAACAAAAGATTTCGAAGTAAAATAAGCATTTTAGTTAAAATTAAAATTGTCTCTACCTGTTTCGGATAATAATGTTGTGGCAGGCCTTTGTTCAAACGATCATAGCAAATGTTGTGATAGGGATAGAGACATGCGATTTTTGGTTTTACAAAGATAATACGATAGAGAATAATAGAAAGTAATAAAAACCACCGGTTATAGGGGAATTTTTTGGAGATATTTATCAAATAACCAAAAAAACACGAATTTTTAAGCAGATTTTTTTCAAAAAGTATAATTTTTTATTATTTGTTGGCATTTTTTGTGTATTTTATGTATTATTTTAGTATCGCTTGTTATTTTGCATTATTACTGTTTTTATTTTATCAAGATATACCGCTTAGTTTCAAAGTTATTACGTTTTCTTTACAATAAGTAATTGGAAGAAAAAAATTTCTATAAAAAATTAAAAAAAAATCTCAAAAATTTTTTGACCTCTTTTTTGTCGATAAAAATAGGTCTAGTTTCATCTATTTTCATATGTACACTTTAACGTGACTCACACTGTATAAAAATCATTTGGTATATTTGTGTTATTTCAATCACACGTAGTATATTTTTCGATATACGTCGAATAGCGCGTCGCCAAACCTAACAACTCAGGGTCTATTCCGTTTCGTTCTATAAACCTACGCATAACGGCTACGTAACTGATTCTTTTGGAGTAGGACCCCTCGCTACCTCCAGATTTTATTATCTATTGAGCAAATTTGTGTCATAATGACATCTGCAAAGGTTCACTAGGAGCCGATTCTGGCAATGTAGATATTTTATCGATTTTAATTTAGAATGGAAGTGTTGAGGTTGACCAGTCAGGCTGGGATGCATACCGTGATAAAATCTTACAAATGATTTTAGACGACAATCGTATGGGCTTATCACGTAAAATCGATAAAACAGCGCGAAAAAATCGATAAAACAGCGCGCATCCCACGCCTACTGAGTACTGACTAAGAAAACTTAATCGTTTCATGCGTGTAAACAGTATTATGATTTCACCTATAAATTAGTTAAATCTTTCATGTAAAGGCATACTCGGAAATTATTGGAAGAGTTAATTCGTAAGAAAAATATTTATACCGCTAGAATTCGACTCCGGATATTGATGTATTATGTAATTTATATTGCACTAATGGGAATGTTTGCTTTAATTTTGCAGACATTTCATGGATATTATGCTGCAATCAACAGTATTATTTTCTGTAATATAATAGAAGCAAATTAAAGTCCACCCAATATGTCTGGACACCGTAAAATTGTGAATTCCGTTAGATTATAATCTGACGTAGTTAGATTACAACCTAACCCACTGTTAGTTTACTATCTCAAGCGTTATATTATAAACTGACGGAGTTTACAATTTCACGTGGACATTTTCAAAGCTTGAATTTAGTTTTTCTTTTCGGATTTTTGCGGGGCGTACGATTGTGTATGAGAAACGCCTTGCCGGGCTCTTCTTGTTCTAATAAGATTTCCAAAGTTAAGATTTATAAAATAATGTTTAGTCTAGTAGTATTTTTACATAAACAATGCTGTTGATTATACTCCCATATTACATCCCTGCTTACTAGTATTTTTTATATGCGTAAGCTCTTGATATGGTCTACCCTAACAACTATTGTAAGAACTATCTAATATAAAATGCTTTTGGTATGTGGACATTACTAAATCACTGTAATTAAATGGATTCTATTGATATTATTTCATTTATTGGCGCGTAGAACGCAGCCTATAAGTGCAAATCGTTTTAAAATTGCCATTTCATAAATTCTTTTTACATAAAAATGTTTTAAAACACGTGGACTTGCTAACTCCAAAATCAGTGGCAAAGTTCAATAAAATGATAAACAATTGTGTTTCAACTGTATTGGGAGACAGTGTTGCTATCACAAAAAATATTCAGTCAGTTATTAAAAAGGAAGGAAATAGAATACCGCAGTAAACTGGAGACTTATGTAACACGATGCGACTTATTTTCTGATTGTATTATAAACTGAAAGAAAAAGTATCAGTATATAGTCAACGTCAAATAGTTCGTGACACCCAAAGTGGTCAAGAAGTTGATAACCCAACCTTATTTCAATTGTAACAAAGATTGTTGCGAATTTTTAGCTACTTTGGGTGTCAACTATTTAACGCAGACTGTACCAAGTTACTTTGCGAATTCACTATGCTGTAAAAACGTTTCACCAACGATAACTTACTGAGATAACTTTAACAGCTATTATATTTAAATTTATTCCTTCAAGCCCTGCATCATTATTTCGTATGTATCAAAACAATAATCGCACCTTGCAACATAATCCAGTCCTGATTTCCATGTCGTCAGTCTGTATAGTAAAATATTGTATTTTTTTATGATGGCAACACTGATCTCCCGCGGCGAATAACAGTGGTTCAGTGCCGTGATGGCGGCTTAGTGCCGCCGGCGCGTGGACTTACGTTCGCAGCCGAATGGCTTTTCCGAGTCGCCTGTGGTCTCGTAAGGGAGTGTGCCTTGCCCAGCGCGTTTCCTTCCGCGGCCCTGGAAATGTACATGACAATTAGGTTATCTGATTAAGGTGATGCCTTGCGAATATTGGGCGTTTTAAAGAAGCGCAGAATTAGTTTTAATCGTACTTTTCTTATTACTTATGTTCTTATTTTGAAATATGTCATAGTTGACTAATAAATCTAGTGTCTGGTCGAAGCCGAAACATGAATGGAAACAATTTTCTCGATAGAAAAAAAATCCAAAGATGACCCTTCTATTACTCGGTTTTTCGTTTTATAAGCAGATAGGCTAATATTTCAATACCAAATTTTGTATATTGGTAAGGTAATAACATATTCTAAGTACTGGTGGAGTTATTTTCTTTAAATAGTGTTAGGTTTTTCAATAAATACATGATTTCCGATTTTTGTCGCTTACGTGATTTTATTCCGCGCCGCGCGCGCTATTGCTGTCCCTTTCCTCGCACTGAGAAATCATATTTCTATCCCTCTGTGTGCGAGGCATTCAGTCGGCCGAAAACTTTTACGAGGTAGCGCCTTAAAGTGTAACATGTAGAGAATATTGTAGAGTAGAGAATGGATGGCATGATTAACCTGGAGCTTGATGGCGTGGGTTTCCACTAGTCTTAGCCTACCATAGAGTATACATACTAGCATGCTTAGAGCCCAACTCTACTTGCCTACACATTTTGGCCCTAACACTTTTTCACACTAATTTGGGTATAATACTGGGTATGTATTATGTATTCTTATGCCTCTTACATCCTAACCGCGAGCACACACTCATCCGCCTTGTAAACATATGAGTAGTGTTAAGCTCCAGCCACTTATAAATACCACTTCAACATGGTGTGGACAATTTCTGCGTGGTGCCCAGGCGTCAGGTATATACCTTCTAAATTCGACGGACGAATATCATTCCCACCACTGCAGCTCCTACAGCCAGGATGTACAGTTTGGCTTCTCAAACAGTGAAGGATCCCTTCGTTCGTTTCAGCCAAATGACGTCCACTGCTGGACAAAGGCCTCCCCCAAGGTTTTCCACGCTAGTGTGGGGGATCCCTTAGTGAGAATATAAGTGAAGACTACAGCCCTAATACGTACCGCGCGGCCCCGCTTGGCAGGCGTATCGTCAGGCTGGGATCTGCGCGGGCCGTAGGCATCGCCGTAGTAGTCCTTGTCAGACTCCGCCTTTTTAGAGCAGACAGGGCCCCTCAATACCCAGAGTGCCTAGTGGGAAAGGAACCTATCTGGAGCCCTAGTTAGTACGTACCGCGCGGCCCCGCTTGGCGGGCGTGTCGTCAGGCTGGGACTTACGCGTGCGGCCGCCGCGGGAGCCCGGGCCGTAGGCATCACCGTCAGACTCCCGCCTTTTTAGACTAGACAAGGCTCTTCAATACCCAGAGCGCCCAGTGGCCACCAGGAATCTGTCTGAAGCCCTATAGTCCGATAGCGATAAGAATAGGTAGCTTGGGGTCATTGGACGAAATTCTTCGTGTTTGGCGACCGGACTTTAGTCTTGGTCGGCCTACACTTTTTTAGAGCGGATGGCGCCCCCTCGATCGCGAAGTCTTGCGCATTTGCCTAGAGTGCCCATTGTGAAAAAGGGACCTATCTGGAGCCCTAGTTAGTACGTACCGCGCGGCCCCGCTTGGCGGGCGTGTCGTCAGGCTGGGACTTACGCGTGCGGCCGCCGCGGGAGCCCGGGCCGTAGGCGTCACCGTCAGACTCCCGCCTTTTTAGACTAGACAAGGCTCTTCAATACCCAGAGCGACCAGTGGGCACCAGGAATCTGTCTGGAGCCCTATAGTCCGGTCACCGAGCACGTAGAATTTCGTCCAATGACCCCAAGCTACCTATTCTTATCGCTCGAACGTAGATTGCTGTCGCGACTGTGCGAAGGGCAGCCGCAGTGAGTGTGCGAGCGTGACAGCAATACAATTACGCGCGAGCGATAAGGATGGGTAGTTTGGGGTCATTGGACGAAATTCTTCGTGTTCGGCAACCGGGCTTTAGTCTTGGTCGGCCTCCACTTTTTTAGAGCGGATGGCGCCCCCTCGATCGCGAAGTCTTGCGCATTTGCCTAGAGTGCCCATTGTGAAAAAGGGACCTATCTGGAGCCCTAGTTAGTACGTACCGCGCGGCCCCGCTTGGCGGGCGTGTCGTCAGGCTGGGACTTGCGCGTGCGGCCGCCGCGGGAACCCGGGCCGCAGGCGTCACCGTCAGACTCCCGCCTTTTAGACTAGACAAGGCTCTTCAATACCCAGAGCGCCCAGTGGGCACCAGGAATCTGTCTGGAGCCCTATAGTCCGGTCGCCAAGCACGTAGAATTTCGTCCAATGACCCCAAGCTACCTATTCTTATCGCTCGAACGTAGATTGCTGTCGCGACTGTGCGAAGGGCAGCCGCAGTGAGTGTGCGAGCGTGACAGCAATATAATTACGCGCGAGCGATAAGGATGGGAAGCTTGGGGTTATTGGACCAAATTCTATGTGCTCGGCGACCGGACTTTAGCACTTTGCTGTAGCCTGTCACCAGTGACTATAAGTTGTGAAAGTCTCAAGACACTCAAAACTTGCTTTTCTTTGGTCGGCCTCCACGTTTTTAGAGCAGATGGGGCCCACTCACTCGGGGAACCATGGGCACGTACGTGTAGAGTGCCCAGTGGAAAAGGAGGATTGTCTGGAGTCGGGAGAGAAGTTAGTACGTACCGCGCGGTCCCGCTTGGCAGGCGTGTCGTCAGGCTGGGTCTTGCGCGTGCGGCCGCCGCGGGAGCCCGGGTCGTAGGCGTCACCGTCAGACTCCCGCCTTTTTAGACTAGACAAGGCTCTTCAATACCCAGAGCGCCCAGTGGCCACCAGGAATCTGTCTGGAGCCCTATAGTCCGGTCGCCGAGCACGTAGAATTTCGTCCAATGACCCCAAGCTACCTATTCTTATCGCTCGCGTGTAGATTGCTGTCGCGACTGTGCGACGGGCAGCCGCAGTGAGTGTGCGAGCGTGACATCAATATAATTACGCGCGAGCGATAAGGATGGGTAGTTTGGGGTCATTGGACGAAATTCTTCGTGCTCTGCGACCGGGCTTTAGTTAGTACGTACCGCGCGGCCCCGCTTGGCAGACGTGTCATCAGTTGGCGTAGTAGGTGTCGTAAGACGAATGACGGAGCACCGGGGTCGTTTTAGTGGGTATGCCTTGTTCTTCGGACTTGATGAGCTCCACATAACCTATCCTGGCCCCGTAGGGTAGGAACGCGATTTCATGCATTTTTCCCCGACAAAAATAGGTGTCATCTTAGTAAAGTCTGGTCGCCGAGCACGTAGAATTTCGTCCAATTACCTCAAGCTACCCATCGTTATCGCTCGTGCGTAATTATATTGCTGTCGCGCTCGCACACTCACTACGGCCGGCCGTCGCACAGTCGCGACAGCAATATTATTACGCGCGAGCGATAAGGATGGGAAACTTGGGGTCATTGGACGAAATTCGTGCTCGGCGACCGGACTTCAGTCTTGGTCGGCCTCCACTTTTTTAGAGCGAATGGGGCCCCCTCGATCGGGGAACCATGGGTTAAATACGAGTGCCCAGTGGAAAGAGAGGGTTGTCTGGAGCCCTAGTTAGTACGTACCGCGCGGCCCCGCTTGGCAGGCGTGTCGTCAGGCTGGGACTTGCGCGTGCGGCCGCCGCGGGGAGCCCGGGCCGTAGGCGTCGCCGTAGTAGTCCTCGTCAAACTCCGAATTTTTAGAGCAGACATGGCCTCCTCAATGCCCAGAGCGCCCAGTGGGCACCAGGAATCTGTCTGGAGCCCTATAGTCCGGTCGCCAAGCACGTAGAATTTCGTCCAATGACCCCAAGCTACCTTATTCTTATCGCTCGAACGTAGATTGCTGTCGCGACTGTGCGAAGGGCAGCCGCAGTGAGTGTGCGAGCGTGACAGCAATATAATTACGCGCGAGCGATAAGGATGGGTAGTTTGGGGTCATTGGACGAAATTCGTGCTCGGCGACCGGACTTTAGTCTTGGTCGGCCACCACTTTTTTAGAGCGGATGGGGCCCCCACAACCGTCGGTCCCTGGACACCAGAGCGCCCAGTGGACAATAGCAACCTATCTGGAGGCCTAGTTAGTACGTACCGCGCGGCCCCGCTTGGCAGGCGTGTCGTCAGGCTGGGACTTGCGCGTGCGGCCGCCGCGGGAGCCCGGGCCGGTGAGCGCTGCGCCCCCTCGTTTGCGGCGACGTTTGGCGTAAGTGTCGTCGTAGTAGTGAAGGCTTTGTCCGGAATTACACAGTTCCTTCCCACTTAAGACGAATGACGGACGGGGTCATTTTAGTGGGTATGCCTTGTTCTTCGGACTTGATGAGCTCCACATAACCTATCCTGGCCCCGTAGGGTAGGAACGCGATTTCATGCATTTTTCCCCGACAAAAATAGGTGTCATCTTAGTAAAGTCTGGTCGCCGAGCACGTAGAATTTCGTCCAATTACCTCAAGCTACCCATCGTTATCGCTCGTGCGTAATTATATTGCTGTCGCGCTCGCACACTCACTACGGCCGGCCGTCGCACAGTCGCGACAGCAATATTATTACGCGCGAGCGATAAGGATGGGAAACTTGGGGTCATTGGACGAAATTCGTGCTCGGCGACCGGACTTCAGTCTTGGTCGGCCTCCACTTTTTTAGAGCGAATGGGGCCCCCTCGATCGGGGAACCATGGGTTAAATACGAGTGCCCAGTGGAAAGAGAGGGTTGTCTGGAGCCCTAGTTAGTACGTACCGCGCGGCCCCGCTTGGCAGGCGTGTCGTCAGGCTGGGACTTGCGCGTGCGGCCGCCGCGGGGAGCCCGGGCCGTAGGCGTCGCCGTAGTAGTCCTCGTCAAACTCCGAATTTTTAGAGCAGACATGGCCTCCTCAATGCCCAGAGCGCCCAGTGGGCACCAGGAATCTGTCTGGAGCCCTATAGTCCGGTCGCCAAGCACGTAGAATTTCGTCCAATGACCCCAAGCTACCTTATTCTTATCGCTCGAACGTAGATTGCTGTCGCGACTGTGCGAAGGGCAGCCGCAGTGAGTGTGCGAGCGTGACAGCAATATAATTACGCGCGAGCGATAAGGATGGGTAGTTTGGGGTTATTGGACGAAATTCGTGCTCGGCGACCGGACTTTAGTCTTGGTCGGCCTCCACTTTTTTAGAGCGGGGATGGGGCCCCCACAATCGTCGGTCCTTGGACACCAGAGCGCCCAATGGACAATAGCAACCTGTCTGGAGCCCTAGTTAGTACGTACCGCGCGGCCCCGCTTGGCAGGCGTGTCGTCAGGCTGGGACTTGCGCGTGCGGCCGCCGCGGGAGCCCGGGCCGGTGAGCGCTGCGCCCCCTCGTTTGCGGCGACGGTTGGCATAGGTGTCGTCGTAGTAGTCCTCGTCGGACTCCGCTTCCGGCTCCTCGCCTGTCTCCATCTCTTCCATCGCTAGCTCGTCGTAGAACCATTCCTGTGGAAAACATGCAGCAAAATTCAACTCCTTGTTGAATTACCTATAGTTGACAAATCAACTGTTATTATGAGATTATTGGCTTTAAAGGTAAACTATAAACAGTGTATCACATAAAATGTGTTACGTTTAAAGGACATAAGATTTGGAATTTTGTTTATAAGCTAATGGATTTCCCATCTTGAATAAAGGGAGAAAGAAGTAAAGTAAATTTTCACTTGTAGTTTGTGTAAGGACTAAGAGCGGTTGCACCTAAATCTGATACAAATTTGTGTGACAGTTTACGCACTAGATTCTGCTTAGGTCATCCGATTTTTTAGTAATTTTCAAGATCTGTGAGCGCGATGATTTGTCCCATTCCGTCCCAGGTTTCCACATACCAGTTTAATTAGAAGCGTTTACAAATGCTCACCTTAGGGTCATCTTTGGCGGCAGTCTGCGATCCATCTCGACTGTCCTCCCCGGCCAGCGAGTCGCCCGGTATGCCGGAACTGTTCTCGCCTTCTCCTGTGGTGTCCGCGGTATCCGTTGCGCCGCTCCAACCCCACCGGGTTGACGACATTGTGAGGTATTGGCGGCGGGCTTTGCGCCATCTGGGGTTTGAATTAAGTTTGAAAAACAATTGAAACGAAGAAAGGTCTCAAGCTTGACATTTATTAAGTTGTACAGTCAACATCAAATAGTTTGTGACATCTAAAGTAGCCAAAAAGTTCGTAACACGCTTTTTTACAATGAGGGCTATCGTTTTAGCGCTCACCAGTTGGCGCCACTGTAGAGTAAGGTCCTGTCACTTGCTAGTAGCGAAGACAGTGGCACCAGCTGGTGAGCGCTAAAGTGATAGGAGGACTATCGCATTTGCACTCATCAAGATGGCGCCACTGCAGAGTAAGGTCCTGTCAATCGCCAGGGGTGCCAACTGTTAAGTATAAAAACGATAGCCCTCATTGGAATAAGGTTGTGTTGTCAACTTTTTGGCCAGTTTGGGCGTCACGAGCTATTGGTAGCTGACTCTACATAATGAGTAAATACAGGAGAATGAGAATTGAGTTTGAAAATGATGTTTTATTACAATTTAAAAGAAGAAAAGTCCCAAGCTCAGCATTTATTGTGTGTACATGATGAGCATACAGCATGACAACTTGACGTTTCGTCTGCTCAAATTCTTGTTGTCTTCTTAACTAGTGCTACAGCTGTACCAACTAGAGACTAGTTGGAACAAAGTAAACTGAAATTTCCACTGCTCTCTCCTCAACATTATTTTTGTTTGGTGTCAGTTTTTTATGTTTATACAGTATGTTGAGGGTCAATTTATTTCAGAGAACTCCATCAACAACATCCATAAAGTGTATGTAAAAGATTAGGCTGATATTAGTAGTATTTTAATTTTAATCAAATAGACCTAGAAATACGTAAACTTTTGTGGAGTAACTGAATAGGAAATTACCTTTGTGCAGGATATGTGTAGACTTGCCCCTCTTTCGCGCCAGGCATGCGCTGTTTTCTTGTCATGAACAAGTTGCAATGGCTCTGTGCGACACCTAGATGAAAAGTGAATCGTAAGTTGGGCAGAGTGGTCCATAAAACACACAGATCACAGAAACTAAAGGAAGATGTGACAAGGGGGCGTGGCTGGTGTCGCAGCAAAATCAAATCAAAATCAAAATCAAAATTATCTTTATTTGTTTAGA